GGGCTCCTGCCTCCTCCGCACACACCGGTGCTGGGACAGGTCTTGCCAGCTGATGAAGATCTTCCTGCACTCGTTGCAGTGGTGTATCTTCCTCCCCAAGTGCATGCGCCGGTGCTGAACCAGGGAGAAGAAATGGGTGAAGGTCTTACCACATGTGACACAGCGGTACAGATGCTTCTTCCTGTGCACATCATGGGCTTTGAGCAGCTCCAAGCTGCGCACAAAGCTCTTCCCCCTTTTGGTGAAGCGGTGAGGGAGCTGTCCAGAAGGGACCTGGTGGTGAGCAGCCAGGGTCGAGAGGCAGGGGAAGTTCTCCCCACACGTGGCACATACACGTGGTTTCTCCCCAGCATGTCTTATCTTGTGCAGAGCCAGGCGTGAGGGGCAGCTAAATCTTTTCCCGCACTGAGGGCAGGGGTGGGCTCTCCCCCTGGGCTTGGCAGTGAGCTCCTGCATCCCTCTGAGGCCCCCCACACTGCCTTCGTTTGCATGCAGTCTCTCTCTCCAATGCACCTTTGATTTCTGCCTTTTCAGGTGTCTCAGCATGACATATTCATCCCTGCACCTTGGGCTTTTTCTTGCTTCTTTCCCCTCTTCACTCCAATGCCCAACTAGAGATGGGACCACATTCACTGCTACATTCTCCTGCTTTGGGGGCATCCCCTGACCCTTGTGCCACTGGTCCTTCGCTGGGCTCAGGGAATCCACCTCACCCATACTCCCCAGGGAAGCCCATGGTGGCTCCAGCTTTCCAGGCCCTTCCTCAGGAGGCTGCTCCTCAGTTCTGCTCAGCAACCAGGCATGTCCTGCATTGGAGGAGGAAATGCCAGATTAGTCCCTGCCCTGCTCCCAAGGGGCAAGCACTGCTATTCCTTCTGCTGGGATGGGCCTCGGAGCAGGACTGTACTTGGCATTTGAGTTTCCTTTAGATAACTAGGTCTTTCTGCCAGCGGCCCAAGTGCTGGGGGTGAGGCAGACTCTCAAGGTTTCTGGCCCTGCATTCAGCCCCATCACCTTAGGCCCTGCTCCAAGAAACACGTGGGACATGTGTGTTTGGACTGTACCTGAATAGGTTCATGCTTTAAGAGGCTGAGGATGAGACAAGAGGGATCTGCTGAAAGGAAAATGAGGCTCTCAAAGGGCTGCTGTATCCCACAGCATTGGTGGGTCCAGGGGCAGATGGTGCTGAGCCCTCCACCTGACTGGGCTGACACACTCCACATGCCCTAGTGCTTTGGTGTGACCCATCTTCAATGCTTGCCCTTGATCTCTGGCAGTCCTGAAAGCAGGATCTGGGTACAAGGGTGAACAGCCTAGAGATGGCACGAACCCGCACACAGACTCCGGGCTGAGCCTCAGGCTTTGTGACACTCGGGGCCCCAGAGAGGAAACTGCACAGGGGAGATTCTGGTGCAAACAGTGGGGGGTTCACTTCCCCCCAGAACATGAAATCTTCTGAATCCCACCCAATCCACTGACCCATTTAATGCAAACTGAGCCCAGGGTTACACACCTCCAGTGCTCCCGGTCAACTGGACAAGGGGACACCAGGGACAGCCCCAGCCTCTCTCTTGTCCAACAAGAATGGCTGGGGCACAAACAACCCAGAATTGAGAGGCTGTGCCCATGATGGGTGAAGATAGCCAGGGCAGAAGAGCCTAACAATTAGTCCTGGGTAAGACCTGAACACTACACCCTCCTGGGCCTGCTTAGTGCAGTGGAGCTACTTGTGGCAGGGCAGTCTCTACGAAACACCACGTTGCCACCCCTGAGACAGGCGAGTGCAGAGTGCCTGAAAACCTTGGCTCCCACTGCCTTGTGGGCTACTTTTGGCTGGGAAAAGGATAGGGGGAGCCTACCCCAACAGGAAACCCCTGATGAAAGCCAAGGAGGGAAAGTGTGTGGCAGGGTACACCTTGCAGCAGCTGTCACTTGAAGCAGAAAAGATTGCGAAAAAAGCAGCCTCTCAAGCTGCTAAGAGGGGAATCTGTGAAGGAGCTCCTGCAGGGCCAGGGCCAGGGCCAGGGCCAAGCCAGCCACAGTGTCAGAAGTGATCCCATGACATGAACTAACTTAAAGGGGGTTAAGCC